ATCACTGGATCTTGACTAGCGTTGTAAACTTAATTTGGTTATTATAAAAGCTAAAAATGAAATTAATTATATTTAATAATTTATGCATTATTTACTACTTACGTATATTTTTTGTTATAGTTTTTTTTCTAAACATGGATCAGTTTGAGATAGATGAACTTGTAAAAATCGATTCATTGATCATATTAATAAGAACAAGTTCGAAAGAGATAAAGTCAATTTTTATCTCATTTTTATTACGGATAGCGATAGTTTAAATTGATTATACGATATATCAATTATTAAATTACTGTAATAATAATTCTAAATTTGATTACGATATATTGTAATTTTTGTAATTACTAAACAATAATATTTTTGTAAAGTTTACAATGCTAATCTTGAATAAAAGATCGAACCACACGATAATGTATGTAATTTTTGTCATGACTTGTTCTAATCGAAATATGGTGTCTTTGCCTTGAAAATCACCTTCCGACATTTCCGATCGGACATGTTAATCATCTTTTACTTTATTGATTCAATAGCGATAGTTATTCGATAAACTATTGAATCAATAAAGTTAGAAGATGAATATGAACCGGTACTCGGGTTTATTTTTGTCCGAATTAACCCGATCGGAAATGTCAAGGCAAAAACCACATAAATAAATCAGTGCATCCTTTTACTATATTATTTATTACGTGACGTGATAAATAACATAATAAGGAATGTGGCAGGTACCAATGAACAAAATGTTGGACAACATTGTCGGCAATGCAAATTAACTTTGACATCAACTATATCACTATTGTTCTGCTGAAACAAAACGACATTATTTTGTTATAAGAAATAAGGAAATCCTTGCTTAATTAATGTGTGTTGATCTACGACGTTATTTTGTTAGCTTAATTAATGTGTGTTGATTCCAGATTGCATTTACTAAATACTACATAGAATAACATTAAAATGAGTTAACTATCGAATCTAAGTAAAATTCCCTGGAATTCCTTGGCATTGGTGCACTAAATTTCTGGTTACATTAATTACGATTTTTTACGTATATCAATATGCCATAAATAAATAGTAAACACTGCATTTTTTGACTTTTTTAATCACGTAAAATCTTGCTTTTCAATTGTCATTTTACGATCTAGATCATGAATTATTTAAATTTATTTTTTGTATGTTTTTTCTTGTCGTTTTCTCAGACATCATTCACTTTACAATGTTTTCCACCACATGCTGGACTAGGTCCTGTAATGCCTTCTATCAATATAATCGAGCCATCTGCTAATTCTTATTCAATGAATAAACCTTTGTTGATAAGTTGGAAAGGTTTTCTCATTGATGATAACCGTAAGTTTTTAATTCAATGTGTTCCTTAACGTTAGTAATCGAATTTACTTATTCAACAAATAATAAAATAATAATTTATTATAATTACTGGTAACCTAGCCGAGTTGCAAATACAATTATGGCGTAAGGATACACATCTTAACGATTATCCAAAAGTATGTATATTGTTTTTTTTAATATTTTCAGTATATGATTAGATGATGATAATTATTCGTTTTTTAATACTTTTTTTCATCTCATCAAAGGATGTTTATTACGAAAACCTCACGGTTAATTGGGTTAATTGGATTACTCCAAATGAGAGTGATAGTGAATTCAGCATTAGAATCTTTAAAAAAGATAATCATTGCATACATGGTATCTCTTCTACTTTTAATGTAACAGATTAACTTTATTTAAGTGAGGATTTATGCATTTTATTAAATGTTTTTTTTTTTGATCAATGATCCCTTAAAACATTTTACTCTTAATATTGTGAATAGCATTGATTAAGTAATAAATTTAAGACTGTTTCTTTGTAAAATTAAATAATAAAAGAAAGTAGTTTGAACTTATTATTTTAATAATTTCATTTTCAACAATTATTTTTATTAAATTTCATTTTCAACATGAAATCTAACTTTACTGTCATTTTAATCCTCTTCGCGTTTTTCGCTTCCACATTGTCGGCTCCGGTTATTATTCTAAAATGTCGTCCTAAACTTGTTGGGGGTCGTGAGCCTTCTATAAACATTTTTGAACCATCTAGATCTTTTTATCATGCGAGAACAAGCTTCAGGATCACTTGGAGAGGTTCACATATTAGAGACGATCGTAAGGATCTTTTTCTTCATTAAAATATTGTTTCATTAGAATATTGCTTCTTTAGAATATTGCTTCATTAGAATATTGTTCTTTAGAATATTGCTTCATTAGAATTTTGTTCTTTAGAATATTGTTTCATTAGAATTTTGTTCTTTAGAATATTGCTTCATTAGAATTTTGTTCTTTAGAATATTGTTTCATTAGAATTTTGTTCTTTAGAATATTGCTTCATTAGAATTTTGTTATTTAGAATATTGCTTCATTAGAATATTGTTTCATTAGAATACTGTTCTTTAGAATATTGCTTCATTAGAAGATTGTTCAATAGAATATTGCGTCATTAGAAGATTGTTCAATAGAATATTGCGTCATTAGAAGATTGTTCAATAGAATATTGCTTCATAAGAATATTGTTCAATAGAATATTGTTTGTTTGAAAATCCGTATTTATCCTTTTATTTTTTTATTTTTTTATTTTATAGCCGAGTTGATAATCGAATTATGGCAAGGAGATAGATTTGTCTTGACCATTTCAAGCGTAAAATAATCTATATATTTCCATGCTTTTAGTATTATTTTATATAAAAATACTAAATATAAATTTTCTTTTATTTTAAATATCATAGCATGTCCATTACTCCAGATTTCTTTTAAGTTGGTTTATACCATACCATCTTCGTGGTAGTGGTTTTGTTGTTAGAATTTTCGACAAATCAGATAGATGTATTAATGGCAGGTCTAAATCTTTTAGTATCATACGGTAATCATATGTAAATGTATTAAAGAGATTTGTAATTCAAGTGTGATTTTTAGAAAATTTATTTCTAGCTCTGAATTGTGTTTATGAACTATTTTTTTTTTTTTTTTTTTATAAATCCTTGCGGAAAAAAAATAAAATTTGAGTTATGCCTTATCAAATCCTACCAATGATCTTTTGGTTTAATGGTTTAATTTAATTAGAGGGTAATGCATCACAATAGTAATGAATTACAAACGCGTACGTACGTACGTACCTTTTACAACTCGATAATGGCTGATTCAATTTCGATAAATTGTGTTTAAATAATTGCTAAAAAATTGTAGGATTGTTTAAACCCAAGGCAATCGAAAATAAATCTGCCATTCTCTAAATCTGTCCATTAAACGTTAAAATTAGAGTCAGTGAAAATATTGAAAATATGCAATTATTTTATTAGTTTAACGTTGATATTTCATAAACTACCAATCTGTTTTCAATTACTTTGTCTTAAAACAAATGCTATGAACATTAGTATTTATCGAAACTGAATCTGCATCTTTTTGATGATTTTAAGCTAAAATGAATTTTGCTATTTATCGTATTTATTTATAACAATTCGAAAAAATGGTTGTCAATCTTGAGTGCCACCAAACTAAACATACTGTACAAATCTTGTGTTTTCCCGAAATCTCACTTTTACAGAAACGGGCTTATCAGATGCATAATTCAATATTACATTATCAGAGGTCAGCCCGTTTCGGTTTTTCAAGAATTGCGAATACAGAAGAATTTATTTCCGGATCTTTTCGCGACCACTGTATAATTATACTTTTTGATGTGATTGAACAACGCAAGGGCGTGGGATCGATTTTACTGCACACGATTTTTCGCCAATCAAAGATCAGTAACGTAAAGAAATTCAAAACAAACGTTCTCTTTGCAAAAATCGCATTTATCTCAAAATTTAATCTAATTAACCATCTTTGGGGTCCTAATAAAAAAAGTTCCTTGTGCAATTTTGCTATTTATTTTCCTTCCTAGCCTTAGCCTAAACTCTAAACCAAATATAAAAAAAGTTTTTAGCGTAGCAACATTTTTTTCCGCCTGTCAAAAATTGATGTAGATCAATCGCGTAAAAATTTAAAATTTTATCTGTTACGCCAGAAAAGTATCTATTTTTTTGATCCGAAAAATGGTTTTTTTTGAATTTACCTTAATATATAAGGTTTGCTTATGGCTTATTCGCATATTTTTAAAGATCCTGTGTTAAACTTTCCTTTTAACAATATTGATAGAATGAAAAACGGTACATCATATGGTTGAATTCATTTTAACTTAGTTTTTGTTTTTCTATATATTTCTCTCATTTATTTTTCTTTTCATTTTACCGTATTTTCGCGAAATAACGGGCATGGGCGTTATTTAGAATAATGGCCAGAATTAAGCCTAATTGGCCGAAATTATCGTTTCGC